TCTCTCTCTCTCTCTCTCTCTCTCTCTCTCTCTCTCTCTCTCTCTCTGTCGACCAGGATGGCCTCAAACTCAGAGATCCACTTGCCTCTGCTTCCTGAATGCTGGCATTAAAGGGGTGCGCCACCACTGCCTGGTTTTCATTACTCTCTTCCAGTTATTATAAACTGGACCAGTGTTGTTCCTTTGAGCCTACAGTCAGAGTGGTAATGCTGGAGGACTTGTTTTCAAGTGTCCCTGCTGTTCATTCCGTTTTTGCCCATCGCTGTGTATATATACCACCGAAGGTTTCCCCTTTCTCAGGATAACTTGCCGTTGTTTGTATCAGGGGCAGTCTAGTTGTCTGAAGATCCAGCTGCGCTGTCCCTTTGTTGCCTCTTTGGTCTGTTTTGACCGAAGATCAGAGAGGCCTGATCAGCCACATACCATTGACACAGCGTTCTTACTTTGGGAGGGCTGGGGCGGAGCACATGATTCTGCAACCGGAAGCACATGGTTTCCTAAGCAACCAGAAAACAAGAGCTTGCACGAAGGGATCCATGTGAGAGGATTAAGAAAACAACAGGAATCGCCCGACAGTCCTTTAATCCCAGCACTTGGGAGGCAGAGGCAGGTGGATTTCTGAGTTCGAGGCCAGCCTGGTCTACAGAGTGAGTTCCAGGACAGCCAGGGCTACACAGAGAAACCCTGTCTCGAAAAACAAAAAAAAAAAAAAAAGAAAGAAAGAAAGAAAGAAAGAAAGAAAGAAAGAAAGAAAAAGAAAACAGGAAGGCCAGAGACTGTCCCAGCCAAAAGCTCGCCTTCTCTTATTGTTGCATTTGTGCACACAAATACTGTAATTAGCCCAAATAGCTCTGAGTTTTCTACTCAGAGCGCCCTGGTGGATGAAACCACCATGAGCTTGCACAACCCTCCCTTGGGAGTGGCGGCTGACAAAGACATGCGTGAGCGAGAGGACGCTCAGCAATTAGAGCATCTGCTGCTCCAGGGGACCAGAGTCCGGTTGCCAGCACAACTCCAGTTCTAGAGGTTCCAAAGTGCTCTTCTGCCCTCCACAGACACTGCAGCATTCATGAGCAAAAGTACATAAACACACGCACACGCACACACAGAGCCAGCCTTAACAGTGCGTCCTATAGAAGAAGGAACTGTGCGCCTGTGTGCTTAGGACGGGACAAGGGGATGCTAACTAACCAAACTGCGGTTTTCGCAGATGAAAATATTCCTGAAGGTCTTACATTTCAAATGGAACTCATTTATTTGCACTGAAATTAAGATCTCTCCTAATCTGTTTTGGAATAAGCTTAAGAATTTCAAATGCTGCATATTTTTACTCATAGAGCAAAACAAACAAACAAAAAACAAACAAAAACCAAAAACCACTGAGTAATACTTTAAGTTATAAAGAAGCATAGATTCATTTTTTTAATTTATTTTTCTGCATATGAGCACCTTGCCTTCACATACATCCGGGCACCGTGAAGATGTCAGATAGCTGCCGTGTGGTCCTCCTCAAAAGCAGCCAGTGCTCGTCACTGCTGAGCCATCTCTCCAGTCACGCGCTGGCAGCCTTGGCAGCGGACGGGCGCCGCTCTCACCAAATGTATGTTCTAGCGGACGTGGATATCACTCTTTTGTTAATCCCCGCTGATGTGTGTGGCGTTGGGAAGTTGTTGGTTCCCCACCGTAGCTTGCTGAGGTTTCGAAAACTCTCGGTACAGCCCTTTCGTTAGAGCTCTATGCCGTGTCCTTCCCATCCACCGTCGGTGTTCATGGTGGGGACAAACATTATGGTATGTCTCCATTAACAAAACAGAACGGCGTTTTACAGGCCTCCGTTTCCGCATAGGTTCTCGAGCGGATAACTGTTCCCATACTCCCGAGTCCTACAGAACTTCTCATTGCTATGGGCCCTCTGATGGATCAGAAGGCCGGAGCTCCACCGGAAGCCCTTCCCACACGCGTCACACGTGTAAGGTTTCTCTCCTGTGTGCACGCGCTGATGAGCTTGGAGATTTGACCTCTGACTGAAGCCCTTCCCACACACCTCGCATTTGTATGGCTTCTCCCCAGTGTGGACTCGGTGATGGGCTTGGAGACTGGAATAGCCGCTGAAGCCCTTACCGCACCGGTCACATCTGTAGGGTCTTCCTTCTGCATGGATCCTCTGATGTGCCTGGAGGCGGGAACTCTCACTGAATCCCTTTGCGCATGTCTCACATTTGTACGGTTTCCCCCCTGTGTGGACCCTCCGGTGGGCCTCGAGGCGTGAACCCTGACTGAAGCCCTTCCCACACACCTCGCATGTATATGGTTTCACTCGAGTGTGGACTCTCTGGTGACCTTGTAGATACGCTCTCTGACTGAAGCCCTTCCCACACACCTCACATATATATGGTCTCTCTCCAGAGTGGACACTCTGATGGCTTTGAAGGTAGGATTTCTGACTAAAGTTCTTGCCACACTCATCACACTGGTAAGGTTTCTCCCCTGTGTGGACTCGCTCGTGGGCCAGGAGAGTGGAGGCCTTACTGAAGCCTTTGCCACACTCTCCACATTTATAGGGCTTCTCTCCAGTGTGGACCCGCTGGTGGATTTGGAGATTAAAGCTCCAGCTGAAGCCCTTCCCACATTCCTCGCACGTGTACGGTTTCTCTCCGGTGTGAACTCTCTGGTGGCCTTGCAGGTGTGAACGCCGGCTGAAGCCCTTCCCACACTCCTCACACTTGTACGGTTTCTCTCCGGTGTGGACTCTCTGGTGGCCTTGCAGGTAGGCACGCCGGCTGAAGCCCTTCTCACACTCTTCACACTTGTACGGTTTCTCTCCGGTGTGGACTCTCTGATGAACGTTAAGAACCGATCTGTGACTGAAGCCCTCCCCACAGGCGTTGCATTTATGCACCTTCTGTTTCTGATGATCCTTGGGGGTGGAGCTCCAGTTACAGCCACCTCTGCCCTCTTTGTGAAAAGGCTTTCCTTGAATGTGAAGTTTCTGCTGGCCTTGAAGGCACAACGCCTGACTGAAGCCGGTACGGCACCTACAGTTGTGTGGTTGTCCCCTGGGGTGCACTGCTGGAAAGTCCTGAAAATGTGGGGGCAGACTGAAGTGGTTATCACAATCGGGGTTACAGAGAGTCTCTTCCACATGGACTCTGTGCGGAACATCTGGATTTGAGCAGTGTGTGAAATCTTTTCTACACTCCACATCTTGACAAAATTTCTCTTCGGGACCGACTTTCCGATTAACTTGAAGAGATAAACTCTGATTTAAAACATTCCGATTCTCCTCATAATTATTGGCTTCTTCCCTAGGATGGGCCCTAAAAGGACTATTGTGGTGGAAACTACTACCCACGGCTTGCTCGGGGATGCTGCATTTCTGGGAGGAGTTGCCTGGGTTGGCACGCTCACACGTGGTAAGAGGGGAACCGCGGTGGACATTCTTACTGCAGTTGAGCAGCACTTGTTCCATACGTGCTCTTGGAGGGGACTGCGGAGGTGGGCTCCCAGAAGCACCTTCGTCTCCTGTCTCTGGACCTGGGCGACCATGAAGAGCTGAGCTATCACCACAGCCCTCTCCATACAGACCTCGTGTACGGGGCTTCCCTCTTGAGTGACCCTGCTGATGTGTGTGAAAGTTGTGGTCATTGTCATTGTCATCATGGCCCCAGGCTTTTCTATTCTTGGGACATGGGGAGGGCTCTGGCCCTAATTCAATCAAGTCCTGATTAAGTAATGATACCTTCAGGGTTTCTCCTCTGTGGTCACGGAAACTATAGCTTTTTCCTTTGCCCTGTGGCCCCTCACTGTCACTGTGGTAGGAGGACCAGCCGACACTGTCACACCTACAGAAGTGACTTCTTATGCATGTTTGCTGACCTTTCCACTGGCAATTATATGCCCTGCTGAGATATGGTTCCCCCCAAGTCTGCTGGGATCTCAGAGAAGGAAACTCCTGACTTTTCCTGGAAGCAGAGTCTTTGTGTACAGGAGGCAACACGTAATTCCCGTCTTCAGAAATCTGAATGGGGACCCACACCAGGCAGGGACCTCCTCGGCTCTGAGGTTCACTGTTACCCCCTTGGCATCTTTTTATAAACTCTCCACCCCTGGGTAATGTGCTTGCACCCCATGGCCAGGGCTGACAGGAGAGCTCCTTGGGACAAGAGTTTAATTCCATGTCTTCTGCGTTCTCTCCAGCATGTCCACTCCTTCTTCCTATGAGGAGGAGGAAAATCCAGACAAACGCACAAGAAAACACCTTATTAAGAGACTGCTGCATTTCACCCTGCTCACAGCAGGACATTGTCATGTCACACTGTTACTATGGGTACTTTCAAAGCACCTGATATACATGTAGGAGCCACAAAACCGAGGCTCTCTGGGTACCTTAAGTTCTGGGTTTTCTAATAAAATCTGGGTATCAAATATGGCCCCATTCAAAAGATTTAGTGAACTTTACGCATGTCCCTGTGGCTTTACCATGGGTTGTTGGGTGATCCAGTGGACAAAAGGGATATTCCCAAAGCAGAAAAATGTCTTTTGTCTTGTGTGTGTGTGTGTGTGCATGAGTGAGAGTGTGTGAATGTGTGTACATTTTAGTGTGCATGCATGTGTGCATGTGTGTGTGTGAATGTGTATGCATGTGTGTGTGTGTGCATGTGTGTGCATACACATGCTGTGTATGCATGTGTGTGTGTGTATTCAAGCTAAGGCATGACAGTGGAGGTCAGAGGACAACTTGGAGCTGTTAGTTCACTCCTTTCTTTCACCATGTGGGCTCTAGGAAAGTAACACAGGTCCTCAGGTTTGGTTCCAAGCACCTTTACTCCAGGGCCATATCCTGCCCTGTGCTCTGGAAAGCACACCTCCCCCCACTCTCCCCGATGCACCATTCTCACCTGAGAGATCACCCGCTTGGGCTCCCGCCTCCCCCATCCAAAGCTTCTCTTCGTTCTCCAGCTGGGCTATCAGACCCGGTTTGAAGGGCCGGTGTGCTATGTAAAAAAAGAAAAGCAGAAGTTTGATGATGTCTATCTTGTCAAAAAATAGATTAAAAAAAAAAAGAACTGAGTATGGAGGTATATGTCTGTTGTACCAGCATTTGGGAGGCTGAGGGAGGCAGATCAGAGGTTCAAGGTCACCCTCAGCTGTACAGTAAGTCTGAGACAGCCTAGCCTGGGCAATATGAGACCCTGACTCAAAGAAACAGAAACAAAAAAAAAAAAAACAAAAAATGAAAAGAAAAAAAAGGAAGGAAGGCAGGAAGGCAGGAAGGGAGGAAGGGAGGAAGGGAGGAAGGGAGGAAGGGAGGAAGGGAGGAAGG